AAGTCCCATCTTTCCAAACATCAGAGATCTCACACGGGGAGAAGCCGTATTCCTGTCCTGAGTGTGGGAAATGTTTTTCACAGAAGTCCCATCTTTCCAAACATCAGAGATCTCACACGGGGGAGAAGCCGTATTCCTGTCCTGAGTGTGGGAAATGTTTTTCACAGAAGTCCCATCTTTCCAAACATCAGAGATCTCACACGGGGGAGAAGCCGTATTCCTGTCCTGAGTGTGGGAAATGTTTTTCACAGAAGTCCCATCTTTCCAAACATCAGAGATCTCACACGGGGGAGAAGCTACTTTCTTGTCCTGAGTGAAGGTAATTTTTTTCACAGAAGTCCTATCTATATAAACATCAGAGATCTCACACGGGGGAACAGACATATTCCTGTCCTGAGTGCGGGAAATGTTTTTTTTCACAGCAGTCCTATCTTTCCAGACATCAGAGATCTCACACGGGGGAAAGCCATATTCCTGTCCTGAGTGCGGGAAATGTTTTTCACAGGAGTCCTATCTTTACAGACATCAGAGATCTCACACGGGGGAGAAGCCACTTTCCTGTCCTGAGTGCGGGAAATGTTCCTCACTGAAGTCCTATGTTCCTGTACATCAGGGGTCCCACACAACCCTGGAGGTGTATTAGTGCCTTGAGTGCGGGAAATGTCTTCTAGATGAATGTTGCTGGACATCCCAGCTCTCATGTGGGGAAGAAGCACACCCTGATATACACCTCAGATATACTCCATGGCTGAGCTTCATCATGGAAGAAACAGTTCATTAGGAGATCAGAGGCCCCCAAAGACATGGATGAAGTGTGGGACCGGGTTGGCCATTGATGGCAGGAGAAGAATAAAAATGGAGTCCTGTCCTAGAGCACTGGGCTGACTTCTCATTGGGGTGCAGCCTATATACTAGAGATGGTTTGCACCTACATGAAGGGGGTCTGCTGTGCTGGGGGAGGGGTTTATGGGAAGGCTGGAGGAGTATATAAACTAGGATGGAGGGGGAGGGAGAATTTGATTATAACGGGGTAGACAGATCAGACGGGGTCAGTACTTATTGGGGGGTGGAATGGGGAAAGATGGGGGGAGGGCTATAGTAGATGTTAAGAAGGTTCCCATGTTACAACCAGTGGAATTGGTACCATTTGTATGAAAATAAAATATACACAAAATCCGTGTGAACAAGGTGTCAGTGAATGAACAAGGTGTCAGTGAATGGACAAGGTGTCAGTGAATGGACAAGGTGTCGGTGAATGAACAAGGTGTGAATGGACAAGGTGTCGGTGAATGGACAAGGTGTCGGTGAATGGACAAGCTGTCGGTGAATGGACGAGCTGTCGGTGAACGAACAAGGCGTCGGTGAACGGACGAGCTGTCCGTGAATGAACAAGGTGTCAGTGAATGAAGGAGGCGTCGGTGAATGAACAAGGCGTCGGTGAATGGACAAGGCGTCGGTGAATGAACAAGGCGTCGGTGAATAACGAGGCGTCGGTGAACGGACGAGGCGTCGGTGAACGGACAAGGCGTCGGTGAACGAACAAGGCGTCAGTGAATGGACAAGGCGTCGGTGAATGAACATGGTGTCGGTGAATGAAGGAGGCGTCGGTGAATGGACAAGGCGTCGGTGAACGGACAAGGCGTCGGTGAACGGACAAGGTGTCGGTGAACGAACAAGGCGTCAGTGAACGAACAAGGCGTCGGTGAATGGACAAGGCGTCGGTGAATGAACATGGTGTCGGTGAATGAAAGGCGTCGGTGAATGAACAATGGTGTCGGTGAATGGACAAGGCGTCGGTGAATGAAAGGTGTCGTCGGTGAATCGGTCGGTGAATGAACAAGGCGTCGGTGAATGGACAAGGCGTCGGTGAATGAACAAGGCGTCGGTGAATGGACAAGGCGTCGGTGAATGAACAAGGTGTCGGTGAATGAACAAGGTGTCAGTGAATGAAAGTGTTTGTTCCCCAATGCCAGAAGTGTGCCCAGCACAATAGGTGAGTTGGAAGGTTTGGTGAATGAAGAGAACTAGGATTGAATTGGTATTGCTGAATCTTGGCTTCATTCCTCACATGACTGGGCCATTCATATTCCTGGCTAGGTTCTCTTTCGGAGAGACGGGGGAATAGGAAAGGGGTGGAGTCTGTCTGGAATAGGAAAGGGGGTGGAGTCTGTCTGGAACAGGAAAGGGGGTGGAGTCTGTCTGGAACAGGAAAGGGGTGGAGTCTGTCTGGAATAGGAAAGGGGGTGGAGTCTGTCTAGAAAGGGGGGTGGAGTCTGGAACAGGAAAGGGGGTGGAGTCTGTCTCTATGTGAGAAGTGATCTCAGAGCGAGTGTGAAAGAGGACCTAGTTGATGGAGAGTGTGATGAGGCTGAAGTATTATGGGTGGAACTGCACATGGGGGGCGGTACTACAAAGGTCATCATTGGAGTTTGTTATAGGCCTCCCAGTGTTAATGAGGAGGTGGAGACTCAGCTCCTCCCACAGATGGAAAGGGCTGGGACAGTGATAATAATGGGGGGTGGTAACGACCCGGAAAGTGACTGGAGTAATGGTACTGCGGGTGTAAACACAAAACAACCCCTCCTGCCCTCTATGGCCCAGAACAAGGGTGGATAGATGGACCCGGAACTTGAAGAAATTCCCCACCAAGGCATCAAAGGTTGTGCGGCTCTAAACAAGGCTGGGGAAGCCCCACCAATACTGGAAAGTGAAACAAAAAGCGCACCAACCTTGTGCATTACCTCAGTAAAATGTGATTTTATTGGATGTGAAAATCTCTCACAGAGAAGTATAACAAGCGTGTAAAGTCCTTGGTGAGACTTGACCAATCAGAGACCAGCGCCAGTCTAAACACGAGGGAAGGTTCTCGGAGTCGACGCGTTTCGAGTCCCTTCTTCATCAGAGCTGACTTGGCAATGACAGTCCCTTCAATATATAACAAAATAAATCCGTGACTCCGAAACTAAATCCCACCAAAAAGTCACACTTTCTCCCCAGAAAGTACAATATAATAAAAGACCTTTTTCTGTAAAAAAATACAATAAAAATAATTACAAATGATCACCAAATACAATCATAAAATGTCCAATTCAAATGTGTCCAACAAAATCCAAAAGTCCAAATTGCAGACTTCCCTCCAGTAAGAAGGATAATAATCCTAATTGTTCCACCAAAAACCTCAAAACAAAGAAAGAAACGATATAGTGCATTCCCCTCATTTACATAAATATCCTCTAATTCCTGCAAATCACTCAAAATGTGCAAAAACACACAAAATATATATATATAATACAGAAATTGTGTGCACTCCGTGACCGTTCCACCACTGTGTGCGCTCCACTCACTGTGTGCGCTCCGTGACCGTTCCACCACGCTGTGTGCGCTCCCGTGACCGTGCGCTTCCCACCACTGTGTGCGCTCCGTGACCGTTCCACCACTGTGTCCGTGACCGTTCCACCACTGTGTGCGCTCCGTGACCGTTCCACCACTGTGTGCGCTCCGTGACCGTTCCACCACTGTGTGCGCTCCGTGACCGTTCCACCACTGTGTGCGCTCCGTGACCGTTCCACCACTGTGTGCACTCCGTGACCGTTTCCACCACTGTGTGCGCTCCGTGACCGTTCCACCACTGTGTGCACTCCGTGACCATTCCACCACTGTGTGCGCCGTGACCGTTCCACCACTGTGTGCGCTCCGTGACCGTTCCACCACTGTGTGCGCTCCGTGACCGTTCCCACTGTGTGCGCTCCGTGACCGTTCCCACTGTGTGCCACTCCGTGACCGTTCCACCACTGTGTGCACTCCGTGACCGTTCCACCACTGTGTGCACTCCGTGACCGTTCCACCACTGTGTGCACTCCGTGTTCCACCACTGTGTGCACTCCGTGACCGTTCCACCACTGTGTGCACTCCGTGACCGTTCCACCACTGTGTGCTCCGTGACCGTTCCACCACTGTGTGCACCGTTCCACCACTGTGTGCACTCCGTGTGACCGTTCCACCACTGTGTGACTCCGTGACCGTTCCACCACTGTGTGCCTCCGTGACCGTTCCACCACTGTGTGCACTCCGTGACCGTTCCACCACTGTGTGCACTCCGTGACCGTTCCAACACTGTGTGCACTCCGTGACCGTTCCACCACTGTGTGCGTGACCGTTCCACCACTGTGACCGTGACCCACCACTGTGTGCACTCCGTGACCGTTCCACCACTGTGCGCTCCGTGACCGTTCCTCCGTGTGCGCTCCGTGACCGTTCCACCACTGTGTGCACTCGTGTGACCGTTCCACCACTGTGAGCTCCGTGACCGTTCCACTGTGTGCACTCCGTGACCGTTCCACCTGTGTGCACTCCGTGACCGTTCCAACACCAACCGTGACCGTTCCACCACTGTGTGCGCTCCGTGACCGTTCCAACACTGTGCGCTCCGTGACCGTTCCACCCTGTGTGCGCTCCGTGACCGTTCCACCACTGTGTGACTCCGTGACCGTCCCAACACTGTGTGCACTCTGTGACCGTTCCACCACTGTACACTCCGTGACCCAACAAACAAACAATAGTATTTGTACGCTTATTCAGTACTATGGAATGAAAACTCCTCCCATTCCTTCATTCCGGGATGAGACTTCCATGGTCCTCACAAAGATCAGAAGACTCTTTTAGACGGATCACCAAGGCAACGGGACACATTTATCAGCAACTTACATCTGAAAAAGGAACTTCCAGCTCTTTCAGTAGCTCTCTAATATAACCAGCAATCAATGGCTGAAAACCATATGTTTCAAACCAACAAAATGGCCGCGGTGACACTTCCGGTTAGCGTGTGTGCGTCTTGACGTCACATTCCCTAACGCGTTTCGTCTCTTCCGGACTTCATCTGAAGGGATACGGACGTCTCTTCAGCCGCTCTTTTATTTGAATGCCTCTCAATAGCCGGAGGCCATGTCCGCCATTTTCAATAAGGGCAAAACCGTCCTTATAAGTTCCTTTCTCAAACGCGTTTTAAACAACAATGTAACAAACCTTTCTGGATCGGTAACAACGTCATCACATGATAGAGAAAACATAGACATTAGCCACACAGAAAACATGAAATCACATGAATTATAGAACATCCTCTTCTCAGCCCAAAACGTTCCGTTACATATTGTGACAGTGGGGCGATCTGTCACCCAGGATTCTGAACAAGGCAGGTTGAGGGGCTCCGGGGTAAGTGTTTGATGCGGAGGGAAGGGGCTTTTCACTTTCCTCCTTTGTTTGTAAGGTCTGTTTTGGGATCTGGAGCCGGGAGATTTCGAAGAGATCTGGGAGGGATGAAATCTCCAATCCTGGGACCAGGTTTTGGGAATGGCCAGGAGACTGATTGCACAGGTGTGTGCAGGGCTTTTCAGAGAGTCAGGATCAGAGTTCTGGGCTCCACCCCGGCAGATGGGAGTCAGGAGGGCTCCACCCCCGGTCAGGGCTCCACCCGGGAGTCAGGAGGGCTCCACCCCGGCAGACGGGAGTCAGGAGGGCTCCACCCCGGCAGACGGGAGTCAGGAGGGCTCCACCCCGGCAGACGGGAGTCAGGAGGGCTCCACCCCGGCAGACGGGAGGGTCCACCCCAGGACGGGAGTCACCCCGGCAGACGGGAGTCAGGAGGGC